CTCTTATTTGAATCTTTTGCCTTTTTTTTATCTATGTGCTCAGACCTCGCTAAACCTGCACTGTTTTGTTTTAAAAACAAAAGTACCGTTTTGAAAACCATGAATCATCCTTTTCTTCTCCACTAGATAGGACAATTGAACTGTTTAGACATCAAATGAGTTATATTTCTTTAAAAAAAGAAGAGGGACATTAGCCATCATCACCTCTTTATGTGGTTTCTGTTGAATAAAATTATGAGTCTCAGCTTGGTAAACGTGGGGTACTCAGCAAATCAATTGGCACTCAGGTCAGGGAAAATGATGACAATGAAAGTGATAGTTGGAGCCTGTCGTACGTCTGATTGAAAACTCCTGAAAAGCTTGTACATAACAATTCTTGCATTCGTGTGAGAGGCACTCACGTATCGTTTCCACACAACACCCAATGAAATCATAGAACTCTCAACAACATTTGAAGGGTAACAAATAAAACAACTATACAAATGGCTTACTGTATGTGTGTGTGTCTGTGTGTAGAAGCACCTGTGTCATCTTTGAGCTTGCCTAAAGCTACTACGCTTACACTATTGCAAGTTCATTTTTTAGATAACATATACACCATCTTCAAAAATATCTTTTTATTTTGTTAGGTGTAATGGTGGTAAACATAGGACATGTAACTATATTTGTGCATGCCACCTTCCTCCGCTCCTTAGAGTGCTGGTACAACAAAAATATGTTACGTTTTGTGAAGACAGGACCCAAATGCAGCACTCTAGACACAGCAAGATCAGTTTGTTAAATGGTTAAAAACTTAAATGTATCTGCTAACTTTATATAAGGAATAGGCAGGAACACCAAGGAGCAAAACACACAAAAAAATCATAGCATGGACAACAAACACAGACCAACATGGCAAGAGTGAGAGTAACTACAAAGACACAGGTAAGGGTGATCACACTGATTACCCCAGCAGACACAGGCACAAGGAATGGAAGACAGACCTAACATTATTACTAATTAAAGCATAAAGCAAAGCAGTAACTTTTTAACAAAAAAAGTAACATTTCATTTTAGAAGCTCGTAAGTGACCATTGAATCCTGGAGATGTTCACAAAATATATCCAAACCAGAGGTTTAGCACAGGTTCCAGCTGAGGCGTGTTCTATTTTAATACATTAACAAAATGTTAAACAGCTTTTTAACTTATTATTTCATCAAATTTAAAATAAATTAAAAATTACATACTTACTGTTACTTACTGTTTCTTTCTCTGTCCCTCTTTAGGTTTTAATAGCAGCTGACATCCAATGAATTGAACAGAAAAGAAATTAAAGGCAGAGGGCAGCATTGCTCCAGGTCAACACCGCACAGTATAATCTCAGTGACCACTGTAAAGTAAATATTCCTATAACCATCCGATAATTTATGCATAGATTACTTTTACGTATCTTGCGTAAAATTACTCTTTGTGGAACCAGCATGGATAATATAAACACATATAAAAGAGAAATATGAAAGATAATTTAAATAAATAAGCTCAGCATATTTTGCAAAACAATCCAGGCCAACCTAAATTTGAGTGTTTTAATTTAGTTAAAAACCTGCCATGTCTCTTCAGTTGGCTCTTTACGTCTGAGGTATATTTATATACAGCCAGTCATGTCTGCTGTGTTATGAAATGAGCTCTATAAGCCTCGTGACTGAGTGACAGCCAGAAACCCCTGGGAGTTTTGCAACATACACACTTCAACCTGTTCTGCCTCTACATTAGAACAGATGTTGAACTCTGAATGACACCGCTTGTGCAGTTTATGGTGGGTTTATATCACTTTTTAGGCAGTAAACATTGTTCCGGTCATTGCTGCTCTCCATGTGAAGCAAAGGAGAAAGATTTTGCAATAATGTGTAAATATTATTGAGGCAAGTCGGAGTTCTTGGCTGCTTTCAGCTCCGGCTTTTTCACCTCACATGTCACACTAACAATAGTTCCAGCAGTATGCCTTTGCTATTGTGCTGTTCCTTTTAGTTTGGACCAAATATTGACTTTTTTCACATTCGGAGTTGCTCATAGCTGTTCATAATATGAAACTTTTGAAAACATACAGAGCTCCGCTCTTTTCCTTTCAGAGACTACTTTATTTGCCAAAGGCAGTGTTTTGGAGCTGCTAGCGTAAAGTAATTTCAAACATCAGCTGTCTGCTGCTGATTTGCTTTTATCATTATCCCTCCTACTGATGTTAACAGAACAGAAGGCTTTCACTGCCTTCGCTTTTCAATCACTGGTTCATAGGGTTATTTTCATTTTGATGTCTTTTGTTTACTGCTGTTTTAATTTACTGTTTCCTCATAATGTCTGATTTGTCATCCTGTAGTTACTCTCCCAGAAGGAAACAACTAGACCCATTCTTCCTACAAGTCCTGTAGCATTGTACTTGTGAAGTTTCCATTTTTTTAATGATGAGTGGGAGAGATGTGCAGGAGCAGTGGGACTGGCTGTGGTCTGTCAAATAACAAACAGTTCCAAAATGCCTTACTGCTTACAAAAGTGTATCTGATTTTAGTGAAGTTATGTTGAACTCCAGGTCTAATGGAATAAGTGCAGTAAAGAGTGGAGCTACTGGCGGTTTCAGGAGTTGAAACACATCTACAGTAAAAGCATAAAGGCTTTTCACAAGCATTGGACGTCTTTTTTTATTCTATCTGAGATTATTCTCTTATGATTTTCTTTTGACATGTATTAAAGTAAATACTGTAACAGTAAATCTTAGTTTCTACTATAATTTTTCTTATTTTATACATATTTTCAGTTTAGTCACATAAATCAGACAGAACTTTTTCCAATAAAACAAGTTATACATTTAGTTTTTAGAATTGCCTGCTGTGTACTTGATGAAAAAACTACCTTTTTATTACAAGAAAACCTTTATTCACGGTAGGACAAGTCCAGGTAAAACTCCACCTGCTGGTCATGCTGTAAATTGTTGAACATCAAGTGATCATTAGAGTTCTGCATGTTTAACAATGTTATGACATATTGTGCATCAGTCTAGACAGACACCTTGGGGGCCAGACACTGCAATAAAATGAAATAAAAATCACAATTTTGTCTAGCATTATTATTTGATGTTTAATCTGGAATCCATTCGATGGACCAGATTTGTGGATTCTAACAATAGTCAGTCCATGCTGATTAACTGATCACAACTTTTCCTCCCGCTAACTCTCTTTCATGTCATTACTGCCTCCCACCTACAGGGTGACATTTGACTAGGAAACATTCATATCCAGAAATATAAATTCTTTGATTTCTCGTGAAAGGAAAAAGAAATGCAGACAGAGGGCAGTATCCCAGTAGATACACATATGTATACTGCAGAATTTGTGACTATTAACTAATTAAAAAGGACAAAATAACATACGATTGAATGTACATATGTTGTGGTACTGATACCTAGAGTTCTCTCTCTCTCTTATATTTCATGGCCTTTTCTACCTTTATTGTATGGTAAACAACCCAGTTGTATTAGCCCATGTTTGTGTGTTTGATTATTGTTGTGTTGCACAGTCAAACCAAAAAAAGATTGCTTGAGGTCTTGATGCGTTTATTTATGGTGAACCCACTCGTTGAGCCACCACATCTGTTTCAGATTTATGGTTCCTGTTTCTTCTGCGTGGGATCACTTGGATAATTGGACTGCACACAGAATCATGGAACATAGAAGTTGCAGAAAAGTTCATCGCCATTTGACAAGGAGTGGACGTCGGACATGGAAAAAGAAAACAAAGCATTCTCTCAATTTCACTCTTTTATATTTTCTTCAAAAAGAACCCACACATTTTTACATTAATTAAATTTGTCATTGACAGTTACTGAAGTGATGAACATTTGCTCATATGCTATGATTATGCTTTTAAATGGTAACCTAAGAAATATAACCCTCTCAAGCTGGAGCAGGAAGAAGAGAGATTAGATAAAATTCGCTAACAATTACTGTTGGACTCTGATTGAAGGTAAAGGTCATCTGTGAAAACAATATTATGTGATATTGTAGTGGTGGCTTAGTGATTAAGGAAGTGGACTTGGGGCTGGTAGAAGTTACCAAGTTACCACTGAGGTGCTCTGAGCATGGCACCGTCCACAACCAGTGCTCCCCTAGCAGCTTAAAGCTGCCCACTGTTCACTTTGGTGATGGGTCAAAAGCATAGGTCACATTTGGCTGTGTGTGCTTTTTGTAATGTTGCTACAGCTAATGCTGTTTCACAACAGAGGAAGGTAAAGTGTTTTTCAGTGTACCCGTGCCAAATGTTACAGTGTGGATTTGACTTTGGCCTCTATATAACAGAAAATATGTTAATTAAAATTTCTGCACTACAACATATTTTTCGGTCATGTGAGTTGCTCCTTTTTCTACCTGCCTTATAAAATCACAATGGAAATAGATTTATAAATGCCGTTTTTCAATTTACACAATATTATATCACAGGAGACTTGGAGTTTTTTATTTTTTTATTTACACTGAGGTTTATTTTTCTTCTCGGTCAGTAAAGTAGAAAGCCAGAAGGAGGACATTTTCGCCAGCTAAGCCTGAGACACTCCCATTTCATTCTAGGGCTATTCATTGTTATAATAAAGAAGCTGCTTCCTTGATGCTGTTTTCTTTCCTGTTTGACTGCACCACAACACTAGACAGAATTGCTTCCGTGGTTTTTTTTAACTCTAATGGTAGGACATTTTACAACTTGTTTGGTTTGATGTAACTAAATACAGGAGAATGTTATACTGCAGATTGTTTATTTGCATAGTGACAAAGCTGTAGTTCATGTAAAATTGTCAAGATTACATGTTGTGTCAGGCTGACCTGAATATTTACGTAGCACCAACCGGCCTGTACTGCTGTCTAACACTGGACTTTGTGCAGGCTGGGCTGTAATTTACACCGTGTCCCTCTCTCAGACATGCTCAACACACCACTGAGTGTAACCTGATCGCAGTGTGACCGGGGGCGTGGTGTGGTAGGTCCAGGATTGTTTGACAGTCAACAATGATCCAAAGATGGCAATACTTCAGGGGTTCAAAGGTTCTCCTCAGAGCTTGTATAAATCCTCTGTGTTTATCTGCACAAATACGCAGAACCAACACCATGTCGAAGAACCCAGCAGCCCAGACACAGAGCAGTGAGTAGAAACTACTTTCCTTTTATAATTAATAATAATTTTGACAAAAAGAGCCTCATTTCGTTTGTTTCATTTAAAAGTGATTCGGTTCCATATATAATTGTAATAATTAAAAAAAGCACAACAACATTGACCCGCTGCTACACAAAGGTATACCAAACACTTACTCGTGGTCAGTCGAGCCTTTGTGTTTGGTCATAATGGCATTTGTTTAATTTCAGAACCAGAGCTGCAGTTTCAGCTGGACATGTTGGCATTTTTAGATTGTTCTCCTTTTAAGGTCTTTCCCTGAATCAGCGTTGGTGAAAGAATAAACACAATGTCTCATTAGAAGCATTTAGTCATTCTCAGTTGTTGAATAAAAAAGAGAAAACTGCCTGACAGCTCCATGCACAATTAGAAAGAAAACAGACAGAGCAGGGATGAAAAAATTCTAATTCTACCAGGGTCATGTTTTCTGTACACTGACATAGTGTTGGTGCCTCAAAGAAAACAAGTCATTAATTCATGAGCTGTTCTAAACATACTGTTATAATTGCAATAAAAGAGAACTTTAAAAAAAAGCAATACCTGAAGCAATTATCCACAACAGTTCTGCTCATCACTGTCATTGCTTTGTTTTCATGAGACTCAATTTTAAAACTGGCCGAACGAAGGTACACAAAGAAAATGACAGTGCACGTTCAGGCTTCATTTGCAAAGCGGCAGTAATCACAATCAAAACTCACAAAGTCAACATAGTAAGAGATAGTTAAACTCCATTGTGGTTATCTCTCTGATGCACATTCTTGTTTTTATTGTCTGCTTCACTTCAGTTACGGGAGTGAACGAAATTCAGCCACTACTGATTGAATGCAATAACAATTCCCAGCGTCAGGAAAAAGTTAAGGTCAGCATGGGACTCTGTATTGAGCTGAATTGATTTGCGTTTGCTAATCATGTAACACTCATATATATTTTACAATCTCCATTATGGGTGAGATATGAGGTAATGAAAGGGAATTGGTTATTGGACAACAGATAAGACTGTAGGTGGTGCAGGTGTCATCTATAGTGCATGACCCCCAGAAGACCAGGAGTTCGCACAGGTAGGAGCTTGTCCACCGTAATGTTATCTTATGTAATGTTATGTGATCTCATTTTACAACACTTGTTCATCACACTGCCAGTATGATTCCTGTTTTTCTGTGTACACACAGCTGTACACGCCAATGAATTAAATCACAGTCATCTAACAGTGTTCTACTGTTCAACTGCGTCATACAACAAATACAAATTACATCATACTTTTATAGTTTGCTTGTAGTACACCAGTCTTTATACACATTTTGTCTATAAACATGTCTGCTTTTTTATTTTAACACAGGGGAAAATTTAAGATTTGGTTTAAGTGCTGGATTTAATGATTTAGGATTAAGATTTAGGGCTGAACATGTGATTGGTTCATTAAAGTACATTTGGCTCTGTTTTTAGTTGTTTGCCAGTACCATCGTTATGAATGGGTATGAGTACGAGGACATGTGATCCAACACAGCTGTTAAAAACAGGATAGGATGTTAGGACCGAGCTGTTGACCTTTAAACGTGATCAGAATATCATTACAACTGCAATACAACATGATCCTCTTCATCTGTTTTTAAATTTGGTAAGATCACACTTCTCAATAACCACAGGAGTAATACTGTTACTTTGTCCAGGTAATGACATCATGTAGTGATTTACTGGAGCACATATATCAAACACATGGCTCATGGGCCAGATATCGCCCATCAAGTCTTTAGTCATGAAAAAAAAAAAAAAACAGAGCAGCGGTGTTGTTGTGACCTCATGGAGATTGAGGTCAAAATGAAACTGGGGTTTTGTCAGTGAGGTTTTAGTAGTTTTAAAGCACAGATCCCTGGCTGAGAAACATCCAGCTTTTTCTCATGTTTGGGTTCTAATCAATGCACACTGTAATTCACCTACTATGTAACTTCCTGTGTGGACAGTCTATGTAACAGAAGAAAAGCACCAAGACATATTTTGGAACACAGTAACAAAACAGGCAGTAAACATTGAAAACCATCCTACATTGAAAAAACTTTGTTTAGTAGTATTTTCAAGTAAAAGTATATTCTCTATAACAATAGAAATGGTCAAAAAAACTCATGTGACAAACACTATAATCTGACACCAGTGTTATGTTTGTTATTCATTTTTTAAATTGCTTGTTATATCTGTCCAGATAATTTCCACACAAGATGTTGTTTGAAATCAGTAATTCAAGCTGTTATTTATCTCAGCTGTGAATACTTTTCCAAATGAGTTGAGTGAAACTGAACATTTCCGCATGTTCCTGTTTTTACATGACTGATGCCTATACCACTGCTTTCCCCTCCTCTCTCCTCTCCTCTCCTCTTCTCTTCTCTTCTCTTCTCTTCTCTTCTCTTCTCTTCTCTTCTCTTCTATCCTGTCTGTTCTTCTCCTTTTCTCTCCTCACCTCTTTTCTCCTCACCCTTTCTCTCCTATCCTCTCTTTTGGCAGCATCTAGTGGTCAGCGATGCCCTCAGGCCAAAGGCCTGGAGACCCTGGCTGCTCTGGTGCAGTCAGTAGAGGAAACCCCAGATCCCATTCCCACAACAATCAAAGGAACCATTCCAGAATGGATCAATGGAAGCTTCTTGAGAAATGGTCCTGGGAAATTTGAATTTGGAAAAGACAGGTAAATTTAGGAACACCACAGGAAAAAGAAAAGAAATCCCTAAACCTTGATAATTTACTGTATTGTCACCTCAATGGAACTAAAAAGTGTTACGTTTTAAAATGTTATGATCACAACTACACATTACAGAAAATACAGAATAGAAAATGATTTTTAAACAGGAAGTTAAAATACATATCAGAGTGAAACACACTTTACAACAAGTGGTGCGAGACAGATGTGGACTTTTACACACACGTCTATAAATATACACATGCCCTCAACATTACAGCCTGTAAAAATGACTACGACAGCAAACAGAGAAAGGGTAAAGAGAATATAAATCTGCCCTGTTTCCCACCAGGTCAATACACGTTTACTTTTGTCATGGGATTAACATTAACTCCACATGTTAACTTGTATATGGATCACCTTAAAATCTAGAACTTTTCTTCTCTGAGCCACAAACTACTTACTGCTGAAATATTTAGTCCAAATAATTTTTTCTTGCCCTTTAAGTAGTGGCGCTTTGGCCCAGAGGCAATGTCTCTGTCATTGGTGTGGAACCCCAGGGTTCACCTCCTGGGCAAGTTCGAATCCCGGTTAGGGTGGTTGGTACCTTCCAGTGGACTCACCACCCGCAGGAAGGTTTAGGTATGGTGCAATGTGATTTGGGTGGCAACTGCTGCCCCCGCGACCCGGTAACGGATAAGCGGATGAAAATGGATGGATGGATGGATGCCCTTTAAGTTTTTCTCCCAGCAAACACACAGACATACGGATGCAAAAAAAACAGAAAAAACAAAACCTTCTGGCTGTTGCTAATAATTACATGCGTTGAGAAAAAAAAATCTTCTTGATTCTTTACAGAACACTGTCACCACAGTTGATGGTAAAATAAGAGATTTTACCAACATGACTCAGCAAGCCAATTGGCACCAGAACAACAGCTAGGTGAATCTTCGTGAGCTGCATGTAAATGTGCAGCATCCGTTAAAGTGAATTTAAACAACGGCCACCACCCACAGAAGAGAGAGAGAGAGAAAAAAAGGAAACCCCAAAACATTAGTGCCAGCATTTATCAAGTAACTTCTCACATATTATTCAGAAATTGTGACAACTTTAAGATTTTGGTTTCACTTTTCACAAAAACAACATCATAGCACAATAAAGAACTACTGTGTTTCCGAGGTGCAGCAGATTCTAAAGGCATTTTCAAAGTTAGTTTTTGACATGCAAATTTAGAATCTCAAACAAATTTATAATCCACCTAGACTTTGGTTTGGTGCAGTAATATACTGCTGGGACCTGGTGAACACAACTTAAGGCATGGTTTGGATAAATAATGCTTACGGTAGTTTGCTCATATAGTAGCAGATGTTTTTACCAGGCATTTTACAAACTCCTCCAACGGGCTTCATTATTTCAGTATTTTAATGACACCGCCACAGAGAGCTGAAAATGCAAGCATAGACAATATATGAATCTTCCTCGAAATAAATGAATCTTCCATTTTATTTTAAATATTCAAATCACTTATTCAAGAATCCCAAACAACTGCCCTTAAACTTTATGTGGTACATTTACCAAATTTGATTAGCATATTTTGCAAGTTGAGAAAAAAAAAATCCATATCCAAACCACATCTTAAACTCAACATGAAGTCTTCTTCTACTGCATGACATTCTCCAGGGCTGAGAGCTGAGTGAAAGCCACACCCAGCCATCCATGGGTGAGGGAGTGGTCCACTCTGAATGGCCACTAGTGTTGGAAGATACCAGAATTTTTGATACGATACAATTATGATTTAGATACAATACCAGTTACATTGGCAAATTGATACTGATAATGTGTGTGAGTTTTTTACTCAAATAAAATACTTGACAAATACTGGCTATTTTACAACAAGTAACAAGTACTTTATCATAACATAATAATAATTACTTTATTTTGATACCATTTATACAGTTCAATTGCTACCATTAAGGGACAAAGATATCTAATTGATTGATAGTGACTCGATCACTGCTCTCATCTGGTCACTGGTCACGTGACATGAATGGATCACTCACTATATGGAGACAACTGTTCAATGTCACGTCTATGCCCATGGTTATTTTGCAGTGTAAAATGTATTCATGTTGCATGGTTCTGAGCAGTTGAAAGAAACCTGTGAACCTTGAATAAACCTCGCTAAGAAGTAGTCGGATATTTTAAATAATTAAAGGAAATGTATTCCTATTTTTTATTCCTTCTTTGAGGACACAGCTGACTGACTTCAAGTGACCAAGGTCAGCTGTATCTAAACAGGGCCATCCTTGCTTAGGGTTGGTCAGTGCTGCCGACAGTGTTAGTGCTGGATTCATTTATTATAACAACAGATAAAAAAGCTGCTGTTATTCAATAATTTCCTCCCTCCTGAATTATTTCCAAATTAGGTTTCTTCTTCTCTATAACTTTAAACATCATGTACAATGATTGAAAATGAACTCTGTTGGATTGTTTTCAAAGATACACTCATTGGTTTGACGGCATGGCCATGATGCACCGGTTCCACATCAGTGAAGGCCAGGTCACCTACAGCAGCCGCTTTCTGCGCAGTGACTCGTACGTGCAGAACTCAGAGAAGAACCGTATCGTGGTGTCAGAGTTTGGGACCATGGCGATGCCTGATCCCTGCAAGAACATCTTTGCCCGCTTCTTTTCACGCTTTCAGATTCCAAGTATGTCTGTCTCTTTACAGTCTTCTTTTTTTTTCTCATTTCTGCAGCTGTCCTTGAATATTTACACTGCATTGTGCACACCAGCTAAAGTCTAATGAATGCTGATGTTTTATTATGTGCCTCTGTCTTTATGTTGTTTGTGCTTTCTGTGAAGTTTTAAAAAGAAATGGGGGAATAGAAATAAGCAAAAAAGCCACAGATTAAAACTGATGGAATTATTGTAAACGGAAACGGACATCGACATCCTTTCAGTGGCGTACATTTGTAATCAAAGGCATGAATGGCTTAAAAAAAAACTTCTGTTTTGTGTTGTACAACCATTTATGTCACATTGACCCTTGACCCTTGAGTCTATTAACAATCTTATTGATTAACAATCAATTTTAATTATCAATATTTTCTTAAACAAAGGCCCAGAAACCACAGCAGTATGTGCTTTCAAACGTACATTTAAATCTATTTATCAACATTAGAAGGAACTTTAACAGGATAAACACTGTATTGTCCCCTTAATATAACTAAATTAATTAAAACTAAAAGCATTTTAAATGTGCACATTGAACTCCTATTATAAAGGCAAAATCATGCATAATCATAAATTAGGTTATTTAATCGTTTCCTTTTATGAAATAACAGCACTTGAGCTCTTTGGGTTAATTTGGTTTGCCTGTATCTCTGTCTGCCTGCAGATGTGACCCTTAAAGGACATGTTTATAATTTGATTTACTAGAGAAGGTAAAACAACCCAAACTTTGTGAGCATGTAAATAATACTAATACAATGTGTGTAGTTGCATACTTTATCCGTATACCTGTGAATGTGTCTGTGTGTTTTGGTTTGAATCTAATTTGTAGTTTTCAGCTGTGGCTTTGAGTCCGATTAAGTTTTCTTTTGTGTTTAATTTAGTCTTCCTATTGTGTGTGTGTGTGAGCAGAAGCCACAGATAATGCCAGCGTGAACTTTGTAAAGTACAAAGGAGACTATTATGTCAGTACAGAGACCAACTACATGAGACGTGTAGATCCTCAAAGTCTGGAGACAAAGGAGAAGGTCAGTGAGTGGAAAAAAAGAAGGAAGACAATGATAATGATGCTGCTGCTGATGATGATGGTGAAGATGTTGATGATGGTGATGATGGCAGTGATATGAGGAAGGAAATGACTTGATGATGCGACGTATTTTAGGTGGACTGGACCCAATACATTGCTGTCAACTCAGCCACAGCTCATCCACACTACGATCGAGAGGGGGCCTCGTACAACATGGGAAACTCCTACGGGAAAAATGGTGATCTTCTCAACTGCTTGTTTCATCTTCAGTCATAATCAGTTTCGTGGAAATACTACATTTTATTTAATTTTAAAACAATCTTTTTCAGGCTTCTTTTACTCCATCATCCGTGTACCTCCACCTGAGGTCAATGCGGTAAAGGCGGACAGCGCAGACCTAAGTGGAGCCAAGGTGATCTGCTCCATCCGTGCAGCAGAACCTAGAAAACCCTCATACTATCACAGCTTTGGTGAGATTCACTTTAAACAGACAATAGAAAAGGACTTGCCACCTCTCAGTGGTCTGCATGTGGGGTTTACACTAAAGTGTCTTGTTTTTTTATGTCCGTACTGGGAGGATGAGTCCACTTTACCAACAGAGAGAACCATGTTATTAATTACTAATTTGAATTCTCGTCTTGTCCTGCTTCTCTTTGTCAATTACAGATCTTTTGTTAAGCCCCCACTATCTTCCTCTGGCTCTGACTCACACATAGGAACACACTCCGTCTCCCGCTCCCCTTAATACTTCTGCTGCCAATATATGCAGCCACTGAAATCCTGTTTAAACCATTTTGTCTAGTACAGGTCTGTCATTTGGGGACACTACAATCAAGACATTTTACCAGAGAAAATGCATGAGGTTATAAATCAGTTCTTTGCTGCTTAATAAGCAATAAGCAAATCCCAACAGGAATCTGGATTGCGTGGCGTGAATTAATTTTCATGATAGACAAATACAATGTGTGATACATTTGATACATTTACAAAAATGATACATTTATGAGGTCAGTAAAATCAACTGCATTAAAAGCTTAAAAATATGAACTGAGCTGCTGTGGATGCAGGGTTTTGTTCCAACCAAGCAGCAGCACACCTGACTTGGCTTACTTAATCAACTGCTATGAGTCTTCAGACAGTTGATTGGTCAGTCAGTGTGTTCTGGATTGGTTGAAAGAAAACCCTGCAGCCACAGTGGCCCTTTGTGCCCAGGTCTGCCTTAGATAGATATAACGTAATATCAAAAGGTAATGTGTCCATAACATAACGATAAACATAAAGACTATGACTCATCTTAGATTTTTGGAGAGCCAGTTGGATCAGGTGAGTGTCAGGTTTAGTTGAGAGCAGAGGTGGAAGAACAGTGAGTGCTACAGTTCCATCTTTGTCTGCTCGATCGAAAGCTACATTGCTTCATTTTGTTTTCGTACTGCACCAATTCCCTGATTACATCTCAGTCTATATTTTCAGCAGACCACCCTTGCTCTGCCAGACTGTCTGGCACCAAGAAATAACACAAGCAACATTGTACAGTTGCAGGAGGCTCCACATAATCAGCCTTACACTGATGACTTCATGGACTCATCACATTTAAATGCATTTTCCCACAGTGACACAGCACAGCTAACATGCCGGAGAACACAGTCAGTGTCACACAGTAGGTGAGACAGAGAGAACACCTGTAGTGTTGGAGAGCGAAGACAATGTAACAGGAGAGAACAAATAGTGTACTATCAGGGGGGTGACTACATCGGTTGCAGAAAGAGCTTGCAATGATGATGATGATGATTACTTACAGTACGTCCCTTAGTTTACTTTTCTTCGTCAAATTAACAATCTGCAATTTAAGCAATTTAACATCAATTAGTCCATTAACATTGATAAATATTTACACAGATGGAACCCTACAGAAAGAGGTTTAATAAGAGAGAAAATACAGACAATGTGCAGAGTCTAAGCTTAGGGACATAGAATTATATTTACAAGTAGTCTTTTAAAAGTGACTATAGGTATCGTCTTTTTACAATCCTGTTTTTTAACTTTCAACAATTCATGCATTAAAACCCAGATAATACATTCTTGTATCCATTACTGAGCAGTTAACAACAAAACATTTATGATTTATCAATAGACAATGGCCTATATCCATATCCAAAATCCATAACATATACATTGACTTCAGTTTAAAAGAGACAAATGCAACTAAAATAAAACCATAACTGGTTTTATGGAGTGGTTCTAACTTGTATGGTGTGTCCCTTCCTTCTGCAGTCATGTCAGAAAACTACATCGTGTTCATTGAGCAGCCAATCAAGCTGGACCTGTTGAAGTTTATGCTCTACAGAATCCAGGGTAAGAGCTTCCATAAGGTCATGACATGGGAGCCTCACTATCAAACTGTTTTCCATTTGGTCAATAGGCACACCGGAGAAGTAAGTCAACATTTTACATTCATGTCACATCACTCTAAAGTTTGTAAAAAAAAAAAAAAAAAAAGAAAACTAAAAGGTGTGTGATTATCTATTCACAGATGATGCAAAAACGTTTTTCTTTCGGTATTTTGATGAAGTCACACTCTGATGGTGCAGCTTTTTTTTATTCATTTTATTCTCAATTTCCTCATCTCATTACACAGACTACTCATTAGGCAAACAACACTTTCAAAGTGTGAGAGGCACAATACAATCAGCAGCCGAATGCCAAAAGTCAACAACAACAATGCACTTCTTCTGTTTACTCCATCTATTTATTTATTTTTTTAATTTTATGAATGTCTTTAATTTCTATGTCCTGACTGTTTGGTGTGACTGATACAACAGGAGAGTAAAGTGAAGTATGTGGCAGCGCCAATGTTCACGCTGCACCAGATCAATGCTTTTGAGGACAACGGTTTCCTGGTGATGGACATGTGCTGTGGAGACGACGGTGCGGTCATCGGGGACTTTACGCTGGAAAACCTCCGCAGAGAGTCAGGGGAGGAGATGGACGAGGTAATTACACACAGAGGTTCAGACAAAAACAAAGTCAAATCATTGGCTGACAGTGCTTTGAAAAACAGTGAGGATTGTAGGCTGAAGTGTTGGCTTTTAACAAAACTCCTGAGAGTTAAAGTCTGTCATCCATTCATCCATCCATGATTGTCCACCAAACATGAAAAAAATAAATACACCAGCAAGTATCCAGACAATTTTTATGACACCATTTGACCAGGCAATTTTTCAGCCAAGGTTATTCCACTTCTTCATCTCTCTATTCCACCTTTCATAATATTAAGTCCATCAATAGACAGAGATTCTCAATTTGTGTCAGATAAACTTGTGGTTTACTTCTTAATACCACAAGCCTGGAAGTCTTGTTGATTTCACTCACGTGCCGCTTCAATCAGAACTAACTTTCCTCAAATAGCTCCAAACAATTTTGCCTGCTTCATAAAAACAGAATTTTTGTGTTTTGTCTGATTGCTCCCGAGGTTACACCTTCAAAGGAATCAATCGAATACATTTTTATTCCTCTCTGATTTCTTCTGGCAGTTTTACAATGGGCTGTGTCGAAACCTTCCACGGAGATATGTCCTTCCCCTGACCGTGGATGAAATGACTCCTCCGGACCATAACCTTGTCACTCTGCCTAACTACACAGCAACAGCAAAGAAGACGAAACAAGGGGAGGTAGGAAAAACAAGGAAAGAGTTCAGCCCTGCAACATAAACTATTGAACATATTCACAGATGAAACACTGTGCTTTAGCAGTAGTATATGCTATTTAATTTACATAAAAGTAAATGCAGTACAAATAAAAACAGTCATTTATTTAGAAAAATAAATATCCTTTTGTAAGCGGTGCCAGGTTTGGGTATTAAATAATAATATATTATTTAATTAATATAAGTCACAAAAAGTGACAACTGCAGGCACAGTTTTTCTAAAAGATTTAAATGGTCAGCACTGAAAATTCCTTGTAAAATATTAAGGCCTGTCATCAGACTGCTGATTAAAAATATATGTGTTTTTATGGTAATATTAATATCAGCCCAGATCCTTTTTCTTGTAAAATGGCTGTTCAATAATAGGAAAATCAGACAACGCTGACATAAGGTTTTCAAATGATTTTAAGGTGACGGAAAATTAAAAAGAGGCACAGCAGTCTACTGCTCATTAATAAAAGGTGTCCTTAAAATTATATTTTTTAGTTTTCATTCTATTGTATTTTTAAAATTTCTCCTTCTTTTCTGAAAATGTGTTTTGCATTTTAAGCTGCTTCTTTGTCATATCTGGAATCTCTGTGGAATGAATTCCGTTTATCCTGTACACCTCTGCTGATTCTGATGTGGTTTTTCCTGGAATCAGGTTAACAGCAGGGCTCAGATAATCACCATGAATACATATTCCACACACTGCAATTATCCAGCATGTTGGGGAATTATAGGTGGCTTCTGCAAGATGTTAGCTTCACGACTACCACAGATGATGTGAAATTGAAAGTTCAGAGCATGGCTGCACATCTGCCCTTTAACAGTGAACGTGGCTGAAGTGTAAAACAATCACAGATTTGATTAAAATCATCACTTTTCGCACTGACTCTCCAGGTTTTCATGACCCACGAGGAGCTGTACGATGATGAACTGATGCAGTACGGCGGCCTCGAGTTCCCCCAGATCAACTATGACAAGCACAACGGCCGGCCGTACCGCTACTTCTATTCCTGTGGCTTTGGCCACGTCTTCAGTGACTCTCTGCTCAAGATGGATGTTCAGACCAAAGAGCTCAAGGTTTTAAATCAATCAAACAATAGGAGAGAATGCCTGTTGTTATCCCGACTTGAGGGGGAGAGGGAGATTTCAAACATCCCAGTCGTGTTGGGTGACAATGGTTTGGAGTATGGTGTTGTGACATGAAACAGCTTGGAGTAAAAAGGAATATTTTTGTAATCTTTCCTGTCTAGGTGTGGCGGTATCCCGGCTTGTTCCCGTCTGAGCCTGTCTTTGTTGCTTCGCCCAAAGCCACAGAGGAGGATGATGGAGTGGTTATGTCAGTCATCATCACACCCAGAAAAGTAAGTTAACAACAGCAAACCCCCGTAACGCTCTACACGACAGGCAGCACACATCAGACATCATTAAGTACAACAGTACTCTAACCCACACTGACATTACATTCCACTTTGACAGTGTTCAGTATAGATGTGTTTTCACTATCATTAGTGCTGAGTCACAAACACACGGCCGAGGCTCCAACTGAATCATATCTCATTCACTCTGGATGAGGAATCATTATGCAGTATGGATGCAGTGCTTCGCTGTTCCCCTGCTGAGTGTAACAAAGGTTGAGAAATGTTTACCTTTAGCAATACTTGTGTGAGCCCGTTAGACTGCATTATGCAAATATCCTAATGTGGAACCGGGAAGAAGACCTCACCTATTATGATAAAGTGCGTCTGCAGGGTGTAGCTTGTTAGTGTTGATCTTTTAGTTTCAGATCCTGCTGCTATGGAATAATGCTGCTGTGAGATTACAAAAAAGAGATTTTAGTGCAGTGATACTACTACTGTACTACAGTAGCCATGTGCGGAGATGTGACAATGCCATTTAACTATTCATAAATGTTAGCTTCGTTTAGACACTATATTTCAGCTGCTAGGTAACATTAAAGCGTACAGTCACTGTTGCACAGTCCTGTGTTAGCAGTCAGCAAGTAAGACAACATTGAACTACATTTTGAGTTATTGCTACAATTGTCTATAATTTTATTCTTTCTCACCGTTGCATTAGGAACTTTTCTTCTGTGTTAAATTATAAAATTTCTACACAAGTGCCCAGCTCCCGATATGAAGCTCGCCCACCTTAAAACCTTGAAGCGACATGTATGTGTGAGTGAGCACCGACAGGTGCAATGCTGCCTGTGACCTTTTTCTTACACATTGTTTTATCTTCCTTTTACTTTTCCAGGAGAATAGTACATTCTTGCTTGTTCTGGATGCCAAGACCTTCACAGAACTGGGCAGAGCTGAAGTCCCTGTCAATATCCCATATGGGACCCATGGTGTGTTTAACGAGATGGGCTAGGACTGATGGTGTTTGCAACTCTGGGGCAAATTGCTGAAACCCGATCAGTGACCAGCCACTTTATCCACAAAACAGAATATCTCTGTCTGTGTCACACAGAAAGGGTTGAGCAGAAGCCGCAGATTCAAACTATTTATCTGTGCCTTCTTGATGAGAACAGGTGCATGTCTTCACTGTGTGCTGCCATTACTGTGAGAAAAACACCAATCTTTTGGAGCCTAACAAGACTAAAAGCCCAGCATGGCAGTAGTTTACTGAAAAAAAAGTTTGTCCTCTGTGTGTATGATTCTGTAACACCAGATGCTTTGAAGGACATGTACTTAATGTGGAAAACATTTAGAAAAGATTACATGAAAATCGATACACACATTAAAATAAAATCCATTTCTCTTTTTTTCTGTTTAAACCTGAAGTGTTTCTGGATCATCACACCACTAGAAACACTATCCTCCCAGGGAGGACATAATAGCACTTAGTATACATAAAAATGCATCAGAGGAAATTCAATTTCTGTCAAAGTAATGTGATAGAAATGGACATTGTCTGTGATGCCCCGGCAAACAAATGGATCTAACGGGTCAATAGCCACCAGCAAGTCTGGCAGAGGTCATATCAGAAATGTCCTGTTTTCTAAATAAAGCATGAAAATGACCCATAACAAAGTTTACCACTGTAATATTCTCACTTTGGACCTCGTGTTGGCTCAGAAAAATATGATGTGGAGTATGTGTGAAAAACCAACAACAGCAACTATTACTTCACTACCACATAAATGGTTGCTACTCAAGGTTACTGCATACTGTAATTAGAAAAAATTAGAATATTTGACCGACTTGTTGTTTATAGAGCCATACTTTTATCATAAAGATTGAAAAAGGAACACTGTCCCCTGGCTGAAAAGGTTAAGTAATGCTTAACCAGGTATGTACGTGGAGTGACCACAATATCATGGGGGGAAGGTTGCTATAGAGCAGGGGTGCCCAATAAGTAGATCTCAAAGGTCTATGGTAGATCTTGCGCAATTACATCTAAAGAAACAAAACATTTTTAAAAAATTATAGATTTAATTCTATTTTAAGATGCTAAGTGGTGTATACTTGTTACGACAGTGTGATGTCACATGACACTGGTGTAAAGTGTTGGCAGTTATGGTTATGGGAAAATAAAGTACACAATGAAGGACTTTAGATCATGTTATGGTCATGTTATTATCTACCTCATATGGCAACATTTATAAGGATAGTGTGAAAGTTTGATCAGTAGGTCCCTTAAGGACAAAAAGATTAGAGAGTGGAGTAAATGTATGTCTCAGGGTGTTTACTACAATGTTTATTCTGTAACCTAGGGGGCATACTTGAGTCACTGAAAAGGGAGCATATTGCTTAGTAATCTGAAGTAACATCCTGCAAACTGCTGCAATGGCAGATAACTGTGAAGACCCCGAAAACAAGTCCTTAAAAGGAAAACACATGAACAAAGAGATTTGCCCTCAAGTGACTCAGGAGTGTGCCCTAGGGAAGTTTACAACATGTAAGTTCTATGAGCATGCATGTGCTGCCGGAACTGTCATGCTGTTGATCAAGTGACCACTGGCCGGCCATAAAAAGGGTAAGCAGAAACCTGTTAAATGGAATTCTGCATATTGACAATATACTTAATTAAGTGTCCACTTTGATCTACATGGTTTTGATAGTGGAAGTAAAATAAGGCAAAGCAAATGAAATTTAATATTTGTTTGATGGTTCGGTATTAAAAAAAAAGGAAACGTTTCGCATACAAAGTAAAGGAAATGTAGTGTCTTCAAAGATTTGGAATAGAAGACAAAATTTATGAATAAGCAAAGTTTCAGATACAATAGAGTGAAAAAGTTAAAGACTTTGTCATTGGGTGTGGCAACCCCTGCAGTGAACCCGACGTGGTGACGGATAAAGCCTGTCTTTAGAAGAAAAGCCGGGATGACCCCTAAATAAGAGAGTAAAATAAGATTTCAGGAATAAATAAAAGTGGTTTCAGATCTAAGAAAAATATGAATGTTTTAGATATGTTTTAATGTGCCTTTTTTTTTTCGTCTGTGTTCCAAATTATCTAACAACGTTTGTGTGGTTTGAAGAAGTTTAACTGATTAGATTTATAGTGTGGAGACTTGAGTTTTTCACATACGTTTTAGTATGACGCGATTGTTTTGGCTCATACTGTGGATTCAGCAATAAGAAATTTTGTATGTGTTGTGGAAGTTTAAGCGTTTTGTGATTTTAAAAAAGGTATGTTCTGGTGTGACGTGATTGTTTCGTACATCGCGGTTCAAAAGTGTGACATTTTTGTATAGGTTTAGGTGCAAATTATTGTAAAGCAGAATCTAAATTGAATTTAACTTTACTGGGACTTTTGAAAGTTTAGTTCATAATGTAAAATGGCTAGTTGGAAGATGATTGACGCCCTATACCAAAGAAGAAAGTAAGGGGGGGGTGAGTGGAATTCTAGAACACCCACCTCCCCTGTACACATTATACAATTGAGATCTCGGGAAAAAAAACAGTTAGGAGTGACAGGAGGTCAATATCCCCTATTGCGAGGCGAGTTAGGGAAGACCAAGTACATGGCGTATTCGTTCGGTGACATCTCCTCCACTGTAGAAAAGATGCCCACACCCTGCGAAGGCAGAGGATTGTGGATGGATAAATTGGCTGAACTAACTACGGGGGTAACACTCGCGTTAGGAGATTTTAGAGCCATAGCCCAGACAATGATGTCTAGGGCAGAGTTACAGGAAATAGAGGGCTCTGCTAAAACACTTATACTCCCTGACCACACCCGGTTTACGGCATTGTGAACGGAATTTCCATTACCAGTGTCGACAGGTCCACCTAAATACATGTGGGATCCCACAGTGTTTCCCAGAGAACACCTAAAGTGTAAGGAAGACTGGACCAGACAGACTGGTGTGAATCCCAGCCAACCTGACGTCCAGCAGCAGTGGTACCGAAGAGGTGTAGAGGAAGGCTTACCCAACACTGTTCAACAGGCCCTGAATGGCAACCCTGATCTGCCAGGTAGTGAGGCTACTGTGTGGGAAAGGCATGTAGTTCACCATATGAACGTCCGAAAACAGCAGCCGATGGAGCCTGGAACTGGTTGAGGTAGTCCACTCTCGGGCCAGGAATGAAGAGGACGATGACTACTACATGGATGTTCCTTTGTAAGGGTGTTGGTTGTGATCTCTTAGTAGAGATCAAAAGGGGAATTGAAGGATTTTAAATCATGTTATCTACTTCTTATGGCAACATTTATAAGGATGGTGTGAAAGTTTAATCAGTAGGTCTCTTAAGGACAAAGAGATTAGAGAGTGGAGTAAATGTATATCTCAGGGTGTTTACTACAATGTGAAGATCCCAAAAACAACAAAGAGTTTCGCCCTCATGTGACTCAGAAGCGCGCCCTATGGAAGTTTACACCATGTAAGTGCTATGAGCGTGCATGTGCTGCCAGTACTGCCCCAACAGTATATAAGCAAGTAAAGCAAAAAGGGAGTTGTTCTTCCTCTCTGGATCGTCTCTGAAGGTGGTAAGTCCTGTTTGCATTATTTATGTTTAATAAATCTTTTATTTTTGAGCTACCGTCTCATCCTCTGTAAGTTTGGGGCTTTAGAGGACAAGTTCATATGTGATGAGCTGGCAGAGCACACAATAGACAGTAAACTGTGCGATTAGCTGCTCACATCCCCTGATGACACGTCGCTCTCAAAGGCAGTGTAAATTGTTTTCCAGCTCGAGTCTGCCGCACTGATAACATCACGGTTAGCGGCTTCAGACATCCCCCCCATGGCCTCAGCTTGGCTGGCGCAGACGGTGTTCCCACCCCCTCAGGTCATTGATCCCACTTCTCCTCATTACAACACGGAGGTGAACATCACGGGTCGCCAAGGAGCTACAGCACACCGTTGAGGTTCTTCCTCTCAGTCTGCCCAGCCACTGGACAACGGTGCCAACGCTACAGGGTGTGCCGCTCAGTGCCACTGTCCACATCCTCATCACGGAGATCCTCTAATTCAAGCCCAACCACAATCCACTCTGTGGGTTCCTGCGCCAAGCCCTTTAAGTGGTGCACAGTGGAGCTGGATGGCATCCGCCTACCATTGCAGCTTCCAGATCCCTGCTCAGCGAGTCCACAATCTGGCAACTCTTTTCCCGCCATGCAATCAGGCCAGATGCAGAAGAACTATATGGCTATTGCCATACTAAAATTGGCATGATGGGCAGTTTCCTAGTACGCTACAGCACTAGCGTCCTCCCAGCATTCACCTTCCAGGTGTCTCGCCACGGTGCCAACCTCCTGGGGTTTGACCTGTTCTGTGCCTTGGGCTTGTCTGCCACAGACAATACTGGCTCTACCATCCTGACAGTGTCCACACCCTGACAGCATCGCTGGCCTTTGCTCTTCATTGGACTGGGTTGCCTCACTGCCTTCAACCACCAGCCACTCATTAATCCAGCTGTCTCCCCTGTCATTCAACCTCTGAGCCGGCTGCCACTTGCCCTCTGGGATGATAGCTGAGCTGCCGAAACAGCAGGATACAGGAATCATCGAGCAGGTTGATGCATCACCCTGGATTTCAAACCTGGTGGTGGTGAAAAAAAGTGTGGCAGTCTGCGTCCCTGTGTAGACCTTAGACAAGTGAACAAAGTCGTGACCCCCGATAAATATCCGCTGCCCACAGTGGAAGAGCAATCTGCCAAATTCCATGGCTCTAAGGTCTTCTCCAAACTTGATCTCCACCAGGGCGACCTGCAGGTTCACCTACACCGAGACAGCTGCAATCTCACGGCATCTGCCATCGAGTTTGTGGGTTTCCGCCTAACGACCGATGGCTTGAGCCCCCTCCACTCCAATGTTGCAGCTGTGCTGTGCCTGCCTGAGCCCTCCTGTCCTGCACAGCTGTTATCGTTTCTCGGGATGACTGCCTTTTACCTGTGCTTCCTGTCCCATTACTCTGACACTACAGCCCCGCTTCGTGCACTCCTCAAACAGAATGCGCCCTGGTCTTGGACCCCTACTTGCGTAGCCACTGTCTGCCGGCTCAAATCACAGCTGACTTCTCCACTTGTGCTCGCTCACTTTGACCTGCTTTGACCTGCGATGCCTTCAACACCACTGTTAGCGCAGTTTTGTCCCAGCTCCAGGGCAGAACTGAGCGCCCAGTGGCGTTTGCCTCATGGTCATTTACTTAGCAGAAGTACTCAATTGGAGAGAGAGAGGCTCTGGCCTGCCTCTGGGCATGTGAGCGGTGGCACATGTATGTCTATGGCCGCCATTTCACTCTAAGGACCGACCACTAGGCCCTGACAACTCTGTTGGACACAGGTGGGTCAGGACAAGCCACTGCGCCTCTACCGCTGGACTGAGCGGCTGCAGGCATACAATTTCACTGTACAGTTCGCTCCAGGGAGGGAGAACATAGTGGCAGATCTGCTCTCCAGAGCCACACCATTCTCTTCAACCGATGCCACCACAGACACGTCAGAGCCAGAGGTGGTCCTCATGCTGCACACACCGCCGTCTCTTTGAAGGAGCTTGAGGCAGCACAGGACCACATGCTCACCTAGCTCTGCACCTTGATCCGGGAAGGGTGGCCTGCAAAAGTTCCAGAGGAGCAACACCATTCTACCAAGTTAGACATGACCTCTCCTGCTTTAACGATGTTTGTGTGGCAAGAGGGCTGTGCACAGTGGTCACCAGTGCATTAAGAGCACAGGTCCCACACATGCTACATGAAGGGCACCTAGGCATTGTGAAGGTCAGGCAGTGCTGTAGGAGTTTAGTCTGGTTGCCTGGTATTGACAGTAACATTGAGGTGATGGTAAAAGGCTGTACAGCCTGCCTCACTAGTGGCAAAATGGGCCAGCCTCCACCTCCGCCTATGCAGCCCCTGCCGTGGCCACCTTCGCCATGGTCTCACATTCAGCTGGACATCTGCTGGGAGCTACACAGCGTTTCTCGCACTTAAAACCTGTAATTTTCTCAAAAATTGACAGTGCGCCCTTATGTATTTCTTTTGGTTTCGCTTACTGATCTCGAACCGATTTTGTAAAGCCAAACACAAAAGCATCAAACATGATGTCACACAACTGAAGCACACTGGGAGCCAACAATGACGTTTAACTCTGTTTTCACAATTAGAAGATGCTCAACA